CCGGGGGGGCTCGTGCTTGGCGCCGCTCCGAGCGGGCGGGGGCAAGCTCGGGGTGTGTGCACGCTGCAGGTGGTGGGGTCGCGACCACCTGGACGCGTCCGTGTCGTTTGTAGGCGCTGTTTGGCCCTAAAGAGTCGCTTGACACCAGGTTGCCTGTCTTGCTGCAAGGGTTTTCTGGGTGTTTTCTCGCGGTGGCTGGTTTGTGCTGGAGCTGGCTGAAGTTTCCTGGGAGCGCAGAGGCTCAAGCCCCTCGGGTGGCTGCAGGGAGCTCTCCGTCAGTAGCCGTGGCGCGTTTATTGTGACTCGCCGTGCTGTGGGGAGGTGGGAGCAGCCTGCCTGGCTGTGGGCATGGGTGGCTTCCCTCGGGCTGGGCTGGGTGCGACTGCAATACGCGCCGGGGATCTGTGAGCGATTTGAGCCTTAGTAGGTGTGAGCAGGCTGGTCCTGCTGCCTCCGGGGTGGATCTCTCTTGTCTGTGGAAATACCCTGAGACTTGAATGAGCCTAAAGGACCTCAGATGAAGGGGAGACCGTGCTTCAGGTGGTCACTTGAGGGGATTTGGGGACTTTCACCGAAGCTTTCCGTGAGCTGGAGGCGGCCAGGGGAACAGGCTCTTCAGAGTCCCGAGCGGCTGAGCCTGTAAAACGACTGGCTTGGTGGCGGCAGTGTTGTCTAACTGCACGGAAACCAGCCTTGTTACCGACGGGGGTGGTTTACAGACCAGCTCTTCTGCTTGTCGCGAGGCTTATCTGCCGAGGCTCCGAGCTGCTGTGATTCAGCCGCGGTGGCTCTCCTGGGCGTGCGGCAGACAGCGACACGCAGATGCGGCTGACAAGCCGAGCCTGGGAGAGGGAGGAAGGGAAGGTGCTGCAATGATGAAAGTGCAAAGCTAAACATCGAGTCGGACGGGGCAGAGCAGGGGCCTTGGCTGTCAGGAGTGAGCTCACGCTTCCAGGGACAGGAAACCTCGCTGCAGGAACAGTGTTCCTCGTTTACATACTAATGTAGCCTATACCAACTTAATCAGACTTCTGGTTGCTGAAGGCGTTTTTGCTTTTAAGTAACTTCAAGCCAGGCTTGTTGCTCTAGAAGTTAAAATGATCAGCTGTCTAGACAACAGTGAACTACACCTTTCTCCTTTTGTGCGGGCTCTGGGCACCAGAAATACAGGGTTAGGAAGTAGTTAGATCCAGTTGTGCTCTGTTGTGGTGATGGCCTCTATGCATAGTGCTCTGGGTAAAATAGGAATCCTCCAAAAAAATGGTGTTCGTTAGGTCTGCAGGGCACCAGAGTGAAATTGCAGTGTGGTGTAAATAGCTGCACTGTTTCTTAAGCCCCCTCTGGAGCTCTCCCTGGTAACTGTTACTCCTGCATAGCAGCATGTTGCACTGAGAAGGTTTGTGTTATGCTGGCAGTGAATGGGGGTGGATTCTCCCAAAAAGCGTTGTTTGGCCAACTTAGTCCAAAACGATGCTACTGAACAGGTCTGGAGCTTCTGCCCTTAGTCAGTGGCTGGCTTGTTCTCCTCAGCGAAAGGGACATTATTGCCCTTGCTTCAATCCAAGGGCTGCTAAGTCACCAGGACTTCAAACCACACTCTGGTAGAGGTTTGTCTTAATTGAGATAATGAGGGGCAGCAGTAAACGGCAGAACAAATGGCCTGGCTCTCGTGGACTCTTGCCTTCGCTCCTTCCCTGTGCTCAGCATCTCTGGCAAAGTAGGAGAACTGGAAACAAACTCCTGTGCTGGAGACAGCAGTGCAGGTTGTTGAGGAGAAACAAGTATGCTAACCAGGACAGCGAGCTGTCTTGCCACTGCAAGTGCCCAGGACTATCTAGTGAGTTAGAATGCCTTTCATCACTGATGCAAATGGAGCCTTTAGAGCCAGGGAGGCTTTTAGCCTTGTATCCCAGTCGACACAAAACTAGTGGATAGCTTGGCTCAGCACGAACTCCATGGTCTTCACAGGCTTTTGCTTGAACCTGTGCAGTTGCACTCAGGCGTCTTACGCTGTGAAATGCTGCAGTGCTTCTTCTCTGCTGCTCTTCATTTGTGGTGGCTCTTGGCTCATCTGCTCCTCCTGCCTCTGGTGTGTGTGGCACAGGACCTAACGGTGGCAGAGTCGTGCTTTAATGAGCAGCTGAGCTTGCTGCCTTGGTGCTGGGTGTGAGATGCCCAGCTGCGTGCTCACTTGCATCCTGTGCTTCCTGGTCACAGATTCTCCTGCAGTGACCATCCCCCTTCCTCTCCCCAAATTCTCTTCATTCAATTTTCTCAGAATTGTGCTTTTTAGCACTTCTACACCAAGCCATCTTGTCCTTTTTTCAGTTGAACCTGTGGTTAAACCCAAGGCAACAAAGAGGGGGGGTGAGAAGAATGGTGGCAAGTCAAGAAGGAAGAAAAACAAAGGGAAAAACAAGAAGAAGGGGACTCCCTGCGAAATGGAATACAAAAACTTTTGCATCCATGGAGAATGCGTATATCTAGAGCACCTCCAGATGGTGACCTGCAAGTAAGTTACTTCTACCTTGTGAGTTAGGTGTGACTGCCATGAGCCAGTGGCATATGAGGGCTCAGAGGAAAAAATCAGTGTCAACTTGGCATAGCTCCATCTCCTGCCATATTTTGACTGAGAATCTCTCTGCCATGTAAATTAAGTGATGATGGAATCCAAGATGCATAACAAGCCACTGAACTCATCAGTTGGTCACAAACTCAAACCCAAAGAATGACAAGGCGTGTCTTTCTGGAACATCACGCCCAAACTAATCTCAACTTGTTGAAATGCTGACAAACATTGTGTGGAGCTGTGCCTGCCTTTCATGACCGCGCTCTGCAGAGAGCATCTGGAGAGGCATGGGAAACTCGGAAGGTGTCTAAGCCAGGTTTGAATGTGTGTGGGTGTCCTTGGCTCCAGACAGCACAGGAGCTGATAAGAACTTGTGTTAATATTTACTTGCAGGTGTCATCAGGATTTTTTTGGTGAGCGCTGTGGTGAACAGTTCATGAAGACTCAAAGGAAGAATGATGTGGCAGACTACTCGAAGACTGTGTTGGTAGTGGTAGCTGTCCTGCTTTCAAGCATCAGCTTCATTACTGTACTTATCATTGTGATAGTGCAGTAAGTATTATACTCTTTGTCGGTCTACCTTGCATGTGACTGGGGCCCAAGCCCAGTAATCCTGAAATGTGTGTGGCTTGTCTGAATTACCTGTGTGAAAAGCATCCAAAAGGGCTGAGTTCTCATCCCAGCTTGGGGATGCCTGGAGGGTAGAAGCAAGGTCCATGGCCCTTACATTATAGAACAAGAGCCTTTGTGCTCTTGTTACAACCAGGTTAGTTAGAAAGCTGCAGAACATGAGCAGGAAGCGGAGGAGGAGCATTAATGCTGATACAGCAGTGCCTTCCCTAATCCTTGTGGAGAAGCCTGCAAGCAGCAATGTGACAGCCTCATGCATGGCTAGTATCCGACAGCTGGAGGGAAGGAAATGCTGCTCTGACAGTCCATTTATTAACAGAGGTTGCTGGGCTTAATGACTTAAATTGTGGGGGAACAAATGCTGTCAGTCCAAAATCCTGCTTACCATTAAGGTGGAGGGTGCCACTATGTCACCTGACCTAGCTGCTGACAGTGCAATGTGCTGGGCCATCAGAATCTGGGGTCCTGTTGTGAATAACTTCCAAGAGCTTTTCTGGGTATGTGTTCCTAGCCATGTATCAAGCTGAGTATTGGAGCAGTTCTCCAGTTCTACCGCTGAAGTTCCAGCACAGTAGGGTTTGGGATGTTGTAGAAACTCAAAAGTTCAGTCTAATTTTAGATCTTGATGAAGTACATGAACTGAATTTGGGTACATACTGTACCCTTTGCTGCAATTCAGGAAACAAGGTGTGCATTTGTCATTGCATTGTTGCTTCATATTTAGCTCTGAACTTGAGGAATGCTGGGATGAACACTTGTTCTCTGAACACTGCCTCATTCCTTGCTGCTAGGAGGGATAACCAGCTCTGGAGTGCTCTAAGGGCAAATGATCATCAGTAGTTTCTGCAGTGCATTTGCTTAATGCTCTGGACCCTCACCAGCTTGAAGCATGCTAACATATAGCCTCATCTAGAGAAGCTGCTTGGAACAGTCAATAGAAAACACTGGAGAAACTAGGGGTAAAATCAGTAAGCATCTCCCTTATTATGTGTTCAAAGGACTCATCCAAAGGACCAGGGACTTGAAGTCCACATGGCTCTGCTGTGGGGAGTAGGAAGGCAGTCTGGTTCCTGCAGCTGTTTGCTAAAGCTACCAGGAAATCTATCCCCCAGAAAGTCTCCTGTCCTGGCACTAAACCCTCTTCATCTTGCTCCCTAATCAGGCTTATGCCAAGAATTCCTGTCTGTGAGGCAGAACTGCCAGTGTCCAGCTCAGGGGTTCCTTATTTTATCATCAAATACAGCTTGATGCCAAATGCTTTAAAAAGTGTCTTGCATGAAACTCCGTGGTGTCAAGGAATTGCTTGTGGATACAGAGACCATAATTGCTGCATAGCATGTGGAGGCTGGTGACAACAGGAAGTACATCAGGGTTCAAAATGATCTCTAACTTGCCGTAATTCCACAGGGTCAGGAAAAAGTGTCCTCGGTATGAAGAGAAAGAAGAAAGGAAAAAACTCAGACAAGAAAACAGAAATGGCCATGTTGGTGTGTAAATGAGGAGAAAGCAGGTATGAACACTGGCTTTACACACCTTTCAGTGCTTCCAGGCTGGAGGTAGCTGATGAGAATTCGGTGCTTGTTTTGCAGAGCTAGTGCTTGCTTTTAATGCTCCAAGTGCTTTCAGACACATAAGTTACATGTGAACAGTTGGCACGGTGGTTTCTCAAAACCACCTGAGTTATACAAGTTGTACAGCTCTTAAATTTCTGGCTGCCCTGAATAGGCTGCTAGGAAGCTATACTGAGACAAGTGGAGCTAAGAAGAAAAAAATCCTAGATATCCATATAGAGGCAGGCTTAGTGCAAGAAACAATGGTACACTTCCATCATGGAAGATGGTGCTGCAGCTACGTAAGTCACCACATCTTTTAAACCATGAGCACTTTCATGTCTTCCCTGCAAGGAGACCTTCAGGAAGTTTCTGCTGCTTAGAAGCTGTAGACCAAAGCAAAGCTGCCAAAGCACCACAGATAGTCTGAAGCTTGACTGAGAGCTTGTCATAGCAACTGAGGTCTAAAACTCTTTTGCCTGGGTGGATTGTTTCTGGGAGCCATCTAGTGGATTTTAATGAGCAGGTGAGGTAGTCTCTTCTGAGCCAAAGTGTACCTAACAGCAGACTCAAGGACCCCTATTGAGCAGCAGTTACTCTACATGCTGAGGAGGAAACCGTAAAAGATAGTCCTGAGAAGTTCTGGCAGAGCTGGAAAGTTTTGCTCTGCCCCATGCCAGTTGTAGGCCTTGTCCAGCTTTGTCCAGTGACAGCTGGAGGGTTTTGCTCAAAGCTTACTTGAAGCTGAAGAGTATCTAGCAGAGTATCCTCAGGTGTGTGCACATCCTTAACCTGTGTGCCTTGTATGTAGGTTAGCCATGGTTCTGGCACACAGTGCTCATGTCCTGGGTGGTGATTAATGTGCCCGGTCTGCCCCTTACAGAACAATTCTGAAGTGGCCACTGCCAAGCTGCAGGGTACCTCTGCCACATCTGGCACTGTGGGCTGGAGCTGTTGCCACTAAGCTCTGATTCATCATGACGGAGGCTGCTGCAAGGAGATGTCAACATGCCACTTGCTGCTGAATCGCTTGCTGGGGAGGACAGTCACTGCTGCATCTTGGCACAACGTTGTGGAAGGACCTGGCACTATGGGGACCTGCTGTCAGGACCTGCTAGAGACTGCTGCAACTGAGCCCCCTCTATCCGTGCTGGAGCTCCAGTCTCTGGTGTTGTGTGGATGGACTTTCTTTTCTTAGCAAGTCTCCTTTGGCAGCTCTAACTCTGAGTGAGAGAGCCTGCTGCTGCTTTCAGGAATGGATGGAGGGGAGAAAATTCCCTCCCCTCTACCAAAGTGAAAAAGGGAAGAGCCCAAGCTTTCTTCCCTAGACCTCAGTGGATGAAAAACCTAGTTCTGTTGTCACTGTGCTCCCTGTCGATATTGGCTTCCAAGAGCTTCATCTCTAGGTGTGAGTTGCAGGGCGTTGGTGACAGATCTTTGTCAGCCACACCTGGGCCTGTTACTGTGTGTGTGGAAGGAATCCCTCTGAGTTCTGTTGGACTTGTTGTGTGAGTGGAGCTATCCATTTTCATGTGTGCTAGCCCAAGTTAAAATTAGTCTCCTCAGGATGCTGAGACAGCAAATGCAGGACCTGAAGCTTTGTATCTGAAGGAGAAGATCCATGCTCAAACCAGCTGATAAGCCTGGACCCATCTGTTCAAAACATGATGCTACTTCTGTTACCCAGATACTAGTTGCTGCTTTAAGCAGTGCTTGAAGTATAAATGCTTCCCGTCAGATCCCATCAGTTGAACTTGACCAAGAACCTGTTCCTTTGAAGAATTAAATCCATGCACTGGCACTCTGCAAGCAGTGGTCTCCTGTGCTCTACCTTCTGGTGCGAACAACTCGACTTACCTCAATCTTTTCCTGACCCAAGTGTCCTTGCTTTCTTGAGCTGTCCATGCAGTCTTTAGCACAGAGTATTATTGGAGTTCAGTTTCTTCTTGGAAGAGTGATTGTGTTCTGTATAAACAGAGCAGAATTCTTCTGGTAGCAGAGAAACACCATTGTCAAGTCATATGTGTAAATATGTAAATATTTATTACTGTATTTAATATTTAATGTTTCCATAACACTTATTTATTTTATAATTAAACTTTTTACATAACCTAATCATGGCAAGGGGTTGTTTTCTTGCTCTCAGGAGTACATGTAAACACTTGAAATTAGAGCTTGGTTTCTCCTCAAAGCAGGAATTTCAACACTCAGGAGCACCAAGTAGGGCTGTGAAGAACTACAGCCATGTGTCAAAGTATCAGCTCAGTGCTCTCAGGGGAGTGCAAGCTGTTTGTAAACAAAATATACAAATGCAAGTACCTGTTTCGGTAGGAAGTCCATTTCATTCAACTACAAAGGAATATTTGCCTTCCTGGATTAGGGACAGGCCAAGTGAGCCATCTCATTGGAAGTGAAATCTCAAACTGAAGCTGGAGCAGATGCATAGCCCTTTGCACTTGAGTTGAGAGCTGGGAATATTGGATGGGGAGAGCCTTTCATCTCCATGTGGTCAGAGGGAATTTGGACAGCAGCTTGGAACTTGGTCTTAAATAAAGGAGGAAAAGCAGCATAGCCTCAGGCCAGTGACTCCCTAAGCAGAAAAGGAGCCTTGGCCTCCACAGTCTGCTTTGAGCTTCTTTTCTTCCCCAGTAGTTATTAGTCCAACTGTTTGCTGATGTTCCTTCTAAGCACTGCTAACACTGAGCTTTGGGCTCAGTTCTGAGTCGCCTGAAAAAATGAGTGTCAAGGGCGTGAGTTTGGCTTTCAAGCCACAGTTAGAGAGGGGAATGGAGAACCTTATTTTGAGGCCCTTTTTTCATAAGCATTTTCAAGAGGTGTTGCTGACTGTGGCTTAGCTTGAAGCAAAGCCATCAGTTTCAAGTAGGACCCAAGGTGTGCATCCAGTGTAGACCTAGAGCTTAGTCCTGCCTGGAGCTGCTGAGATGCATTGGCCTTGGCCTCCTGCGTTGGCCAAGGAGTTCCCAGGCTCTGAGAGCAGCCTGCATGGTATGTAGCACAGGTACAGGTAAATGTATTGCAACACCTCTTGGGAAGATTGCGAGACTTCATTCCAGGGAACTTGCTTCATTACCAAAGTAAACAGCACTTCTCCAAGCATCTTTTCCACAGACATTTGCTATTAGAGCTCTGGCAAGAAAAGCTGTTTCTGTCAGTCCTGCCAAGCTTTTTGCTTTGGAGTAAACAAGCTCAATCTCAGTGGTAACCAAGCCATAGCCTAGAGAGACTGGGGATGGATTACAACTCCCTTTGGAAAGCCATGAGACTCTGTTTCCAGAAACCCCTCTCTCTATTGTCTGCTTTCTGGAGGAAGCATCAGGTTTTCTATTTGATGGGCTAAACCAATGCTAGTGTAGGAAATGGAGGTGCTCTCCCTCTTCCCTCCCCAGCTCACAAGCCTGACAGGAGGGAGGCTACAAGTGTAACTTGTCAGTTGCTTCTGTTGTGTACTTTTCATACTCTGAGTGGGCTGGGGGGTATTTTCCACAAATAAGCAGTTAGGAACTGGAGAGGCAACAGTGGAGGGCAGACTTCATAGAGCATTTGTTCCTCTCTTAAGGTTTTAGGTTGCATCCAGGGTTTCTGAGAGGTAGTGCAGGCAGCAACTGCCTTGCAGAAGACTTCTGCACTGGGCCAGTCACATCCAGCACTGTGCTTGCTAGCAGAGCAGAGCTTTTCAGTGTCAGATGATGCTGTCTCATGCTGGGCAGCAAACTGCCCATGTTCCCTGTAGTGGCTTGCTGAGCAGTTTGAAATGTTTTCTGTCTTTGCTCAGGCAATTCCTGGATGAGAAATTTAGTGCAGGGAATTGAGGGCAAATCTCCCTGTCCAGGAATGGCTTAGGTAATTGTAAATTCAGAACTGTTGTACATAAAACCAACAAAAATTCCCTTCAGTTATGAGTTCTAGCTAGCAGTAATGTGCTTTTTCCACTTGAGCTTAGTATCAGCTTTCTACCAGCCTCCTAATAGAAATGTGATGCACAAGCACCATCCAGAGCTATGGTGTCCAATGGGTTGGTTGCTTAAAACACCTCCACAACAGGTGGGTGGAACTGTATGTCTGGAAGTCTCTTGCTGTCCAAGGATGCTGTGCCTGTGTCACAAGCAAATCTGATCTGCTGCAGGGCAAGGCCAAAGATAATTTTTATGGCTGGTCCTGTGCCGCCAGGTCTGCTCTTCAGGATATATGTCACCTGGCTTTTGACCTTCTCCCCTCACCATGGAGTCACCTTAGTTCCACTAAGCATGCCTGGGTTCCTAGTCCCACATCTTATTAATGAGTTAATCCTCCAGATTTTTCCGGACCTTTCAGTGGCAGTGTGACTTTGACAGGAGACCATCTGTGTCCTTGTCACTTGCAGCTTCCTCAGGTGAGACCTGGAGGAGCAGCCTGACATTCTTGCACAATTTTCTGCACTCATGGCTGATTTGGCAAGGTATTTTCGATATCCAGATCAGTATCCAGGAATTCTAGTAACATGATGGTCATGTCTGCTTGCACAATTCCTTCCTCCTTCACATGTGTTTTGTTCTCCATGACTTGTAGGACGAATGTAACTCCTTGTGGTGTTTATTGTGTACTTAGGGAGCTTTGAAGTGTTTTGCAGTTATCTGTGAACAGAGGAGCTTCCTGCCTATTTCAGGACTTTGCCCCCCTCCTCTTGCCATCTTCCCAGTGTGCCCCTTTTCCCTCAGAGCACTATCGGGTGTTTATCTGCTGGATATTATAGGAAGGCCAGTTCTCTGTGGCAATAAAAAGGCAGGAATTCGAGAATTTTGCTTTTCCTTGGTAAATCCAGACATACATGGACATCTCTGAAGGTGTTTGTACTGGCAGTGGCCACAAGAAGATGTTGTGCAGCAGTTCACCTCATCAGCCTTTGAGTTGTTTGACACCATTTCGAGTGCATCCTATAAAGGTTTGA